TATTCTCGTTGCTGGGTCGAAGAGGTTTACGGGTAGTTTGGTAGTTTTATGGATAATCACTTGCTGTGAAAGTACTTTTTTTCTTTTTTATGCGTGGATAGAAATTGTACTTTTCCTCGTGCGTGAATTGGAACGTGGATTATTAAAGGAAAGAAAAGCGTTTGTGGAGTGAATCGAAACAGTGATAAATATATGCGCGTGTAGAGGAAAAAATCGTTTCAACTAGTCATTGGCAATTAATTTTGGTAATCAAATGTACGCTTTATTTGATGTGAATATCGTGATCGTCGAAAGGTATAATCCGTCAAACTGATCTGAACGTCGAATAATTGATTGAAAGAATATTTCGAAGAAAGTAACGATGTTTCATTCGAGAAATTTCACGTCTACATTTCACGTGTAGAAAACTTAATATATACGTACGCATATGTCTGGAAGAGCGAATGGGGGAGAGAAAAACGGAGATGATCGAAACCGAAGTACACGAGAAGTTAAATCGGTTTAATTCCGTCCAACGCTTCCGATATTTGGCCAGCTCTGTCAATTCAGAGACGTCAGTACATTTCATAATAGTGGATTAAAAGCAAATCTGAGAGAGAGTTCATTCGTCGTCTCTGTTACAACGTTCCGCTTTTATTTCTCATCAGAGACACATCCCTATTCAATTGTCGTGCATTATATCGATGAACATTGAATCATAAAAATTATCGAATATCTGAAAAATTCATTTTTAAATTTACTATTGAAGATATATCATACTCATCGAGAACATCTTGGATTTATCATAATGAAATACGTGGAACTTATCTGTGAATACGTTGTTTGTTCGAAGATGACGATTAAAAGAGTAGTAAAAAAAAAAAAAAAAAACGAACGAGCAGACGCTTTAAGGAAGAAAATTATTGTAGGTTGAACTCACGTAATAAGACGAAAGTCGTTTAGTTTCACGGTGCATTTTCCGTTATCACCGTACGATGAAACGTTTATACAGTTTCCAAGCGGCCATTCTCGTCCAGAAAATCTCTTTTCACGTCCGATAAATTCACCGCGTGTTACAAATAAGATACTTCTTTACTCTACTTTTTTCACATTGCTTTTATCACGAGGCAAGTTTAATTATTGAAATATATATATATATACACACACACGTGTGTTTAATATTTGTATCTCGTGATTTAATAAAAGCTTCGTAAAAGTTTATTTTAGCGAATTCAGAATTTAGATCTGAATAACCTTTAAAAGCGTTCCATCCTATTAGTTGATCAGCGAATTATCGATTGGCTATTCAAACGTTTTGGCCATGCCAAATCCAACTTTGTGGTAGTTGCAAATGTTGCTAACTTTGAACGTGCAACGTCCAATGAAGGATCAACTTTTCAAAACTATCTCTTTCGAAACGTGTAATTCCATGAATTATGCGAATAAAAAAAAAAATTGAATCAACAAAATTCAAATAAAATTATTGACATTTGTTCAAATAAATTGAAAATTGTTGAAGAAGTCGTGTAATTTTTCAATGTTCGAAACATACTCGATCCTAATAATTATAAACATTATTTAATGGGGACACTTCTAATCACTAATGGCTCTGAATAGATTTACGCATTCGACAAGCAACAAGCAACCCTTCTAAATTAACAGACACGCATCGTCAACATTGGCATCAAGAAGAAGAACAAGAAGAACTCGCGATAAACTCCGCTAATAATCGCGTAACTCGCTCTCTCCTAGAGATCTGTTAATGGTTCTAATAAAAAAAAAAAGTAAAGAAAAAAAAAGAAAAGGAAAAAAAAAAGACCCGACGAATGCGAAAGAAGCAGGAGAGTTCAAAATCGGTGGCTCTCGTTCTCATCAACCGTATTCACCCTTCGTTTTTCATGCTCGGAGGCCTCGAGTGCTCTTCTTGCTCCAGTCTCGCGATCACGAGGGGATGGTACTTGATATGCACCCCCGTATCATACGTGGGCCGCCATTCGTAGAAACGATTCACCCAGTGATAAATTCAGAAAATTCGTGAACAGAGTCGAAGAAGAAAACGATGCAACGTGAAAGACCACCCCTCTCGTCTTCCCTTTGCGCTCGAGATGATACTTTGAGTCATCGAGTCGTGAGTCACTGATAATCACGCTCGTCATAACCATTCCCTTTATTATCCGTGGCAGATTTGATGGTTGACATTATTCGAAGGATAAGCGAGCATTCGTTGGGCGGCATGGCTGTGGATGCCGACTGTGTAGTAGCTGCGTTTTGTCAGAGGGTGGATTCAAGTGGCCCGAGATAGATATAACTGAATGGAACTCGTAATTTGTGCCGGGTAATCTTTATGATGGTTGTTTATTGATGTTTATCTGCAGATTTTCTGCGCTTCTGGAAACATTGAAATATTTCATTGGACGACAAACGGGGTAAATTTAGGATAAATAATAAAGTTTCTTTTTTGATAATAAGATTTCGTGTAAGTGAAACGCGAAAGTTAATCTCGTTACGTTTAAAAATTTCCCAACGAATTATTTTGGTGGAATAATCGATAAAGAGTGATCAAAAATTGTCTAAAATTTCGTTAGAATTAATTTCAAAATTGTTCAAAAATTGATCAAAAGCTTCGTTACTAATTCCTAATCCACGTGGATATTGTCGTGGAAGCTAATTTCTGTACGTACTCGAAAGATCCGAACCTTACTGTAAAATGAGAAAGAGCAAGTCTGCAGACGACAAACCAATTAATTCCCAATTCCGTCTCGTTCAAGAGGCTAGCTAGCTCAGGTACGCCTCCGTGTCTTCCAATCCGTGCAACGCGTGCAATCATTTTAACGTATAGAAGATTCCCATCGACATAAACGTACAAAATTTAACAAACGAAACTATTTTCCCCGATGAAAAACGGAATTTCCGAAAAATTATAAAAAAAAAGAAAAAACAAACTTTCTTACTTTTAACGTGGGCTCAAAAATGTTCAGAAAACGACAATCTTCGTCAAAAAAGGAAAAAAAAAAAAAGACCGATTTAAAAGATCAACACTCGCGGCCAATGAAAGTGGAAACAATGGTCGAGGTAAATCGGGTGGTGTCAATTTATGCAAAGCCGGGTGAGCAATGACAGCGGGGGGATTTTGAAGAAAGGGTGAGGAGAATGCAAAGGAGAAATACAAAAAAAGAGAGGGAGAGGAGAGAAGGGGTAACCGTGTTGCGTGGGTGGCGTAACAGGGAGATTGAAACAGGAAGAAAATGTTAGGTGATCACGCCAAGAGCCCATTCGAAGTTGTACCCGATGCGCTTAATGGTTGTGCACACCGAGTAGGAGTTATCCCGCGCTTTTTACCCTTTCTTCCATCCTCCATCCACCCCTCTCGATCTCTTTCTCTTTCGAACTCGATCCCCCTATCTTCATCCTTTTTGATTTTTCCTCCCTTCGGCCACCCTCAACTTCCCTCTCCCTCTTCGTCGTACTTCATCCCTTCTTTCATCTCCCTCCTTCCAGACTTGCTTTTTCTCACTTCTCACTTTCCCTCTCTTTCCACGTTAATACCACTCTCGTCCTCCTGCACCCTTCCACCTCTCTCTATCTTCCTCTTCATCCCCTTACCCTTCTCTCTCTCTCTTTCTGTATCTGCCTCTCCTGTCAACGCGACTCACTCAGCAACTTTTTAATCACCCCCGCCGAACAAAGGTGGCCGAACCAACCGGGTGTCCTGGAATAAACGTCGATGCAGGGTGGTATCAGGCTGGTGGTCGCATCTGAGGCCTTTGCTCTCGCCGGTCATTCATAATTGCGGGGAAAACGTGGTCGAAATTGTGGGTTACTGGTTACACGTCAGGGTTAAACACATCGATCGATATTCTTTTTTTTTCTTTCTTTTTTTTTTTTTAAGAGAAAAGCGGGAAAAGAGTGATACGTTTTAAATAAGCGTTTTGATGGAAGTTGAAATCCATTTTTTGAAGTAATGGTGAATTTTGAAGATTGGTGGAATCACTCGAATCGAAAGAAGCAAATTATCACTTTATTAGAGAGAGAATGCGAAATATAATGTAAAATGAAAATACATGTTGCGATATAATATAAATTTTTTTCAACGAATCGCCAACTGTGTAATTTCACGCATTTAATTGTAAATAAAGTCTATTCCACAATATCGAAATTAAAGAAAGAGGAAAAAAAACAAAAAGAAGAAGAAGGAACAAGAAACTCATCCATGTAATAGTCGCGTCTCGAATCATCACGGTGACGTGTCTTTTTAATCCGTCGCTAAGATGATCTCTTTCGCGCCACGAATGAAGTTCGCCACGGTGGGAAGGGGGCGAAGAAAAGAGTTTGCAGGTCACCCCTTGTATAAAAAGAGTACAGTGGGCGTCCTTTATCGAAAAAAACCACCTCTTGCTTTACTGTAATTATACCGGTGATCCTCCCTCCTCTTTCTTTCCTACTCGAGCCACGTCTATCCACCTCAGTGGGTTTTTTAAGACAATGAGCCGTGTCTCCAACGGGAAATAGGGAACATTCTTTCGTTCCCATTTTCAATCGTGCCGCCCGCTTTGCCCAGCTTTCTAATTTCGAAATTAGCAGATGCTTCAACGTCCCGGCGTAACACGCTGATTCGAACTTTCATCGTTATCGCGAAGGATACTAGTTCGATACTTTTCACGACCGGGGGAAACTTGTTCTTAATTAAGAAAGTAAACCGGTATAACTTTTTCCCGGCTCGAGCACTTTCGTACCTTTTTTTTTGGAATTGGAATTAATAATCGGTCGGATACAGAATATTTATCGTGTAATTCTTTTGGTATAACGGTGAGGGATATTTTCGAATATATATTTTTTTAATTTAAGAAAAGAAAAAAGGAGAATGAAAAATTAACTCGTTAATCTTTTGCTCGATCGACATTAAAAAAGAAAAGTTGTACCTGTATTTTTAACACACAGGTTTATTATTTATAAGCGCGTGATAAATAAGTAAGTGAGAAATATTTTTCAATCGTTATATGAGAATGTTTGTTTCTTTCCAGTACAGTGATCGGTCCACGCCCGTTCTCCTGATAGTGTCGCTCGCGGGTATCAAAGTATGCAGCCCAGATGGAAAAGTGAGTATGATCCAATTGCGACAGGTATCTGAAATACCTATTTTTATCGTAAGAAAATAAAGGGGAGACGGTAAAGAGGGAGGGCTTTTGGACGAAAAAAAAAAAAAATTAACATTGTGTGTGTGTGTTTTGGCGCGAGTGTACGCGGGCCACAAAGAAACTCGGCCAACGCGTTCTGGATGTTCACCGATGAACACGATGTATCCGGCAAGAGTCGAGCGACGCTCTCTTTCACGATAGCTTTTAGTTCACAGTCTATTTCGGTGCTTTGTACCACCGGCGAATATTTCACGACTAGGAATGTCGCCGTGGCGCATTAAAAGCCGCGTCTTTTTTCGCACAAAATGAAGTTCATCAAACAACTTTGCGAGATCACAAGCGATTTCTCGCTTCCTACCTCCTCGTGCCTCGTGGAATATTTCAATGATGATCTTTAAAGAATTTTCACCCGTTAAATAAAGGGAGAAATTTTCTTTTCTCGCGTGCGAATTAAAAACTTGTTTTTGGAAATTCTATTCCATTCAATTTATCCGTATATCTGGCAAGTATTCGTAGCGTGTTTTCTCAAACGGGATATTTTGATAATATTTTGAAGGTTTTTCCGCGTTATTTTAACGAGCATTTGTTAAAAATGCTCGGCGTAAATATTTTGTAAATGATTCTTTTACAAATATACGGGCGATCAAACGGTATTCGGGAACGAACCGCAATTTTGTATTTGCTCCGACAGGGTAATCCTTTTCGATTGACGAAAATCAAAGATAAAATACATATTCAAAGTTTGTAATTGCTTGCAGATACACAATCGTGCATAAATAATTAACCCATTCGTTGGCAAAAATGTATTATAATTTCTGAGTTTACTTATTTTTTTCTTGCGTATTTATTTTGAATATTATCGTAGACATATGATTTTTAAATATTATAATACATTATCAAAATACAAGTTTGATTAATATATATATATTAATTATATTGATGTAATAATTTTTCGACCAAATATTTATTCAATCATTCTCTCTGTCGAAAATATTTTCAGGAAAATAACGTGGAGCGCGTTAATAACGTAAAGCATATATTGCCAAAAAATTTTAATAAAACTATCCAATTGATCGAAGAAAAATATTCGATCGAGAGAGAAAATATCAACTGTCCGTATATAAAACAGTTTCGTAAAAATAAATTACTAGAAATGTTATTATTATTCCTATTCTGCTAGTTTATTTTATTTTTGAAAAGAGAGGCTTGCGTACGAATTCGATTCGATGAAAATTTTATCAATTGAAATTGCGAAACAATGGAAATTAATTAGCCCATTTTCGAAGAGACGTTGATCGACAACGCGATGTTTCAACAACGATGTATCGATAGACAAGTTTAATTTACTGTCCCCGCCTAGTTCAAATACGGTCTGGGAAAACTAATCTACGGCAGACGAGGGTAACATAAACATCCTTATTTATTATTTCACGTTGTTTCACGTTGTTGAAATAACCACTGTACCTTCTCATTATTCTCGTAACGCGCGCATTACCCCCTCCCCTCCTTCCCCTCGTAACATTAAACTTATATAATTTATCGTACGTCTGCGCATATCAAGCAAATTGGTGAATATTCATCAGCAGAAATTAATCCACATTCTGGGAATCATAATCATAACTGATAGCACGTAATTCGTTACATATTTTCTCGATCCGTTAAAAATCGTTTAATTATTATTAAATGAGATATGCGAGAAAATTAGATTCCACGTTTATATCGGATGAAACTGTTTTATCCATCGTATTTTGATCCATATACTTTAAAATATTTATTATCGAATAATTAATTCAAATGGAAACACGTTGAAAAATTAACGTGCGTTTTCTTCCCTTTGCCTCTTCAATAATATATATATATATTATAGAAGAGTTGAAAATAAAATAATTAAAGGGAAGAAAAATTATCTATTTCAGATCGAAATATAGGAAAAAATAAAAATTAGAAATAAAAGGAAATCAAAGCTTTTTATCGAATCAAACAAATAGAAGAAAAAAAAAAAAGAAAAAAATTAAAGATAAAAGCAAAAGAAAAATGAAAGCAAAGGAAAGTTGTCTGTTTCTGGTTCTGTAACAGGTCAAGAACGACTCGTATAATGCATCACATTCGCTCAATACTTTCAATTCTGTTATTTGCCGAATCAAAGTAGCGAGATTCCCCTGAGATTTCAAAATGGCGGCGTGATTGGCAGCGCGAATGAATCCAACGGGCAGAGACTAATGCGGTTTAGCTCTTTCCCATATCGCCGTCATCCTGATTGATAATCCTTGTTTCTCTCTCTCTCTCTCTCTCTCTCCCTCTCACCCCCACCCCCTTGTGTCGTGCTTTCCTGTTTCCGCTTTTTCTTCCGTGGCCCCCCAGAACTTGCGACTTCTTCGAGACAGCGGCCTCCAGAGATGGCGCTCAACAACGAAACTTTTAAGAAGTCTTTTCGTGTCGCGTGTCGAAGAAAAAATTTCGCGAAAAGGAGAGAGGAGAGACGTGGCCCGGAAGGCCTATTTTGATAGTTGCGACGAATGAAAATTTTATCCGTTCCCCTTCCTCTTTCGTCAAGCCCCCGTCGTTTCTAATCGACGTTTCGTGCTTCGTGAAATTTAATGCATCCTCGATCCCTGATCGATTATTAAATTGCACGGTGAATCGAAATACTCGTTGCTACTCCTTCTTTTTTATTACACAGAATTTATTTATTTGCGTAAGAAAATTTTACGAGCTTTGAAAGATTTATCATTATTAAAATTCTATATACTTTTCTTGTCTCGTAAAAATTTGAAATTTGAGGTAAGACAGAAATAAAAAAAGGTAATAACGTTTCGTCGAAAATTTAATCCAAATATTTTCTGTTATTAAATTAAAAGGGATAGGGAATTTGGTAGGTAATCTGAAAATTTCTCTTACCCGAAAGCGGATGAATTTATTTGTGTGCGATGCATTAGGAGTCTTAAAAATTTGTTGTTGTTTTTTTATACTTTCCTCTCATTTTATAGACTTATTTTATTCGTACGAGAGATACGGGGATAGTTTGCATAGAAGAATAAACGTATGCATCATTAAAGCGACTCGGAAACTTCGCAAGCTCTTGTTTTATTTGATGGTCAGCAATTTCAGGAAAACTCGACGAAATAACAGACCGGGAAAGAATGAAATAAAAGAGGGCGGTGCTTTATTATCCTCGTGGGCTGATATCTGCGTTGTTGCGAGAATTAACAAAAATTTTTATATCATATCTCGCGTTAAAATTTCAAATTTATCTCCTCGTCGATTTTCAACTGAACGTTGCGGAAAGTTAAAACGTATGTATTAAATGGAATTGCTCCCCGCGTAATGCAATTTACTACTGACTTTATTAGGTATACTTTCTGTAGTATACCGTGCTGAAATTACACCGTACTTTGCTAAAACAAGGATATATAAATTGCAGTACTTTGCCTGAAACAAGAATGAATCTAAACTCCAACGTGCCGTTGGATTCAACAAAGTAGGCCAAAGTTGGAGATCGTGCCGGTATCCTTCACACAATCAACCTTTTCAAATTTTTAATTTAAAAAACCGCCAAAAAAAGTATCTTTACAATTATAAAAAAGAATCGATTTTCGTTTCGTTTATTTTTTAGAAATATTGATTTCCCGATCGTAACATAACAACATTGTTGTCGTCACAGGCACGAAACATTTCCTCTTCTCAAACATCAAACGCGGTGCGAACGATTTGAGTGTTTGGAAAAGTGGAGGAGCCGCGGATATGAACCCATAAATCCAATAACCAGCTAGTTTTCCCCGTTCCACTCCTCAATATCCTATCAGTAGCCTCCCTTTTCGCTTCATCCTTTTAATTCAATTTTGTATCCCACTCTTTTCCAAGAATTCCGTTCTAACGAACAATCGTATAAATACGAATGTAAGCACGATACACGTGTTGAAATAATTACGAAACTAATTACGAAATCATTTCTCGTGAATGATTCAACGAGAAAAGTAAAATTTTTGCACGTTAAATTGACGAATCAAGAATATTTATACTCGAGATTAGAAAATTCGTTGAAATAAATTCACAACGAACGAAAATTTCGAGCACGTGATTCAAGATGACCAGGATCCACGCTCTCGGGCAAAGTATCATCTCTCTCTTGCCGCAATTCGCGTTCAATCATTTCAAGAACAGACGTCCAGGAAATGAGAAAGTTTCTTTTTCAATGTTTTATCGCGTTTGGCGGGTGACGTTTCGTCATCGACTGATTCAATTTCCTTCGATGTCCCCCGTGATAACTTTTCTAATATAACTGAATGGGAGTTGTTTCTCTCTCTCTCTC